AAGATCCTCAAGTCGATCATTGGGAGGCAGCACTAATAATGACTTGCAGCCTAACACATACTGCGTAAGATTTTTGAAGCCTTGACCTTGTCCTTTGCTCACCACATCCACACAGTGTCAAGAGGGTGAAAACATCAAAACATCTAGCAACTTTCCAATTCCCCGAACTTGTTCGTATCCTGGCAACGGACGTCCAGTTCTACAATCGTGCCTTGGTGGAAGAGGTGTAAGTTATCTTTAACTTGCTCGTGTGATGGAACCAAAGCTGACAATTATGGTCTAGTTCGTCGAATGTGTAGGTCATTGGTTTGCTGCAAATTCCAACTTGGTTGCATTCTAACGTATTTAGTGTCCTTAATTTACTCAACTCAGAAGATTCACTAGGAGCGAGGCAATGACATATATCCTCTCAATGACCAGAAGCCCAAGCCTACCTACTGAAGGTAGTCTCAGAGGATTAGCAATATCGGCTAGAGCAGCAAGCGGGACTATGAGGTTCACAAGCGTTTTCCCATGAGATATCTCTGTTTTATGTAGTCCGAGTGGTGACGGTCGAGAGCAACAGTGGTAAAGAGCAGAAAGAACCACCGTATACATCCGCATATATATACATATATACCCGTACATACAAATGAATAAGCTCCAGGGAAGTCTCATGCATGAGAATGCCGTCGTTATACAACTCCAGCTGGAAGAATGCGGGAAACTTCTAAATGGCGTAAATCATTATCAATGAATGCAACACCTTCGCTATGATGGCTTTTGTCCGTACACGACATGACTGTAAATGACGTCAGTATAGATTTACAGATTGCTGATGATCTGATACGTACACTGGCCAGTATGCATGAATCGCCGTGTTGCTCAAATCCTTTCGAACTTCGGCAAGGAAGACATCAACGCTCTCTCTTGGCCATCCGAGAACCCGAGTAAATAGCCCAACACTGAGACCCTCCAGCCCCATCATCACATTTTCGTGGTTCCATGAACCTAGCCACATTATTAGTATCAAAAAAGGTTCATAACTAAATAGCAAGTTGAAAACGCGATGCGGTACGAAAAGCTAGTTTCCAGACGGGCTGAGATGTAGAGAGTCTGCTTCACTTACCAAGTTCCTTGTGCCTTGGGTGCTTAGCCCATCTGTTTGTCGGCCATTTGAAGACGACCTCCTTCACATTCACGAACCCCGCCTCACGAAGTTGTCGCTTATAATGTGTAGCTCCACCAAACGGCGTCCCCCGCTCCCCCGTCCCTTGGAAAAGAAACTGGTTCCATTGATACAGTGCCGACTCTTTTGTTAGTGTGCCATCATCAGACATGGCTTGCGCTCCGTCGGCACACTCGAACCAGCCTCCCGGATTCAGATTTGCGAATGACTGCCGGAACAACTTGGGGAAGTCTCGAATACCACCCGTGTTCATTCGGCTGTAAATGAAATCAAACTTTTGCGAAAATGTCCAAGGTTCGTCTTCTATATCATCAATTTGGAAGTAGACGTTAGGCGGAACGTATGAAGGTTGCACCGGGCTCAAGTCCACGCCAATGATAGTCGAGCTGGGGTTCTCGTCGGCAAAGTCAATCGCCCAGATTCCTGTCCCTGTACCGACATCCAAAACCCGTTGCGGTGGCCGTTCTTTACTCAACGGAGATAAATGTAGCTTATCGCCGAGGGTGAGTAGACATAGATTGTGCTGGAGGTCTAGGCGGTCGAGTTCGAGGTCGTCGTTGGGAAATAGATAGGCACCATCCTTGTAGGCGTGATATGTGCGGCCATTCTCCTCTCGGTAACGGAGTATGCTGCTGCGCAGAGACATCGTGGAAGGTTGCACCTCAGCGCCCAGGGACGAGTCAAGGTCCGAATCCTCGCCGTCGGACTCGAGCTCGCTTTCCTCATCAACGGATGTTGTCATGGAGACATCGTCTGGTATTTCGTTAGCCTCCAGAGACGTTGAAGGCTGCGGTGCCGCTGGAGCCGACATCGTTGAAGGGTGGCAAGATAGTCGATCAGCGGACTAAATCTTCGAGGATGGCGAACCTTGCTGGAAATTCGGGGTAGACAAATGCGACGAAAGCTAAATCATGAAGGTTGCAAGGATTTTTATCAAGTGTAAGAGCCTGTTGTGGCGAAAGTGTTTCTTTTTCTCTTATGACATTAGGTCGAATGAACTCCGCAACGGAGGCGGGAGAACCGATGGAAAGGCGGAAATCGTGGAGACTTCGGAGGAATGTCCGTCCCTGTGGCCCAACGGCGAACCAACACGCTTTTGATATCTGACAGGACAACTCGCACCAACAACGAGAGGAAATGCGGAGATCTGATTGGCCGTGAAAGACCCCCTGTTAGGCAAACAGCCATCCTGCATATTGAAACGAGGTGTCCAGCCCACGCCCGGCGACTCAAAGATCCCTTTGCTCTCGCGTTGGCTCTGAGTACATGAATCGGGCTCAGGTTGCTTGATTGTTGGATGTTGTTAGTCAACCAAGACAGAGCGTTCGATGCTGTTGGACGCCATACGGAAGCTGTTGGAGCATTGCGGAATGGCGCCGAGCGCAACACGCGCCGGGTTTGGGTAAGATCGTCCTGCGGGAGAGCGGCGTAGAAGGCGGATTGGGAAAACGTAATGTGTAACCCCTCTTTTTGTGCACCGGGGCCTCATGAGAAAATTGGCTCACGGATCCGACCATTTGGTAAGATGGAGTATCAGATGCTTGCCTCAGAGAAACATCGACCGGGTTGTCGGACACTCGTTTACTACATGTAGTGACTTGGGTCGTTATACCGATCTCCCGTGCGTATTGTTGCGCTGATAGTAGTAGCCCTATTTGTGGACCGTCGACAGAACTTGAAGCCTCTATTCGTAGTTTCATAGGATTCGAAGGAAGAAGAAAGGACAGTGATCTGAAATCTGCGAGCTCCTCAACTCAGTACCTAAGATAGTCATTGCACTGGCAGTAAGTCAGCCTAGTCGCATTCATTTGCGTCGGCCAGAAATTCTCACTTGGATAACTCACTTGGATAACTCACTTGGATAACTCACTTGGATAACTCACTACTTCAAAGTCAGGGGAACACCCAGAGCTATTCCTCAGATCTCAGTCATCTCACTCACTCTCTGACCCTTCCAAGCGGTGAGAATTAAGGGGACATTAAAAAGAGTCTTCCTGTTGTTTTGGATATGTCTCTCATTCCAAGGAACGCTCTCGCTGATACATCGATGAGCTATGATACGCCAATCCCATGGTTTTCGCTACCAAAGTCACCCCAACTCCTCAATCGGCTCACCAATGCTGCAAGGAGCAAGTGGTCGATGATATCTTTACGTCAACAACTTACTATCATGCCATCGGTTTTCTTCCGGTGACAAACCGATAGCTTGTGATAAGCCTGTAGTCCTTGCTACGGAACTCTCGCTTGACACCCTCCATAAGCACTCTGGCTTGGTCGTGCGAGTAGTTCAGTACTCTCGTGAACAAGGCCGGAGTGTGAGAGTCGACAGACATCTGCATATGGACAAGTTCGCAGCGACCAAGCTCCTTCAATGCCGGGTCTTTCGCCCATGGACCGATAGGTATCTGTGAACAGCGTGAGCACGTCTCCTAAGGTATGGGCTTAGCTGTTGGCTGAAAACACTTACCCTGTATACAAGTTCCTGGACATCCTCGAAGCCGGCATCAATCATCCACTGTTTGTGGTATCTCGCCACGTTGATTTGCTTCCCGTACATTTTACTTGCCTCGTCTAGCTTGGTCACCCACTCCTTCGTCCAGGGCGCTCTCTCATAGCTATCGTCGTCGCTGAAGATCCATGCATCGTACTCTTGCATTTCAACCCACCCGCCTGGCTTCAAGCCACCCATTACACGGTCGTAAAATCTTGCCCAATCAGAGGACGTTCCGCTGAGCGCGCGGCCGTGAATATAGTCGAAGTGCTCCTCCTCACGGTATGTCCACTCATCCTCGTAATCATCGACATGGAATTTGCAGTTCGTGGGAACCCATTCCGGTTGAATGGGCGAGAGATCGACACCGTATACGTCAGCCGTGGGAAATTCATCTGCCATCTCTATGGCCCATATTCCCGTCCCTGTACCGAGATCGAGGATCCTCATACCAGAGGCCGCCGGATCCTCTGGTGTGGGGAGTGGCGCGGTGTAAAGCTGGCCTCCGAGGAGGAGACGCCAGATGTGGTGCTGCAGGTCGAGTCGTTCTTGCTCTTGGTCGTCATTGGGAAGCACGTATTGCCCCTCACGGTAGGCGTGGTATCGCCGCCCGTTCTCGTACTGGTAGTGGAAGATGGAGGATGCTATGGAGGCCGTGTAAGCACTGCCAGCATCGGAGCCGTAGGCCGAGTCATGATCCTCGCCGGGGTTTGTAATTTCGGTCTGTAATACGGGGGCACAAGGTAACGTTAGTGCACATGGCCTTGCCTCAAGTCCCAAGGGAGTCTCCTAAGGGAGAGGGACCCTGGCGGTGATAAGCTTACGTCGACTTGGAGCGGCGTCAAGGTCTGATCTGCCGCCGGATTAAGCAAATACTGGATACTGGTCGGTGCTACGGTACGGGGAGGTGTTGTCGCTCCCGTGCTGCTAGTCAAAGGGGTTGGTGTTTGGACTGGACCGGCACTAGAGGGGGTCCCGGTGGCCGGTCCCGAGTCCGCGGTACTGGAACCGCCGGTAGTTGACGGACGCGACGTCATTGGAAAAGGGAGCGCGTGATCGGCAGGCCGTCTGCCGTCAGCCGTTCGTTCCCGGTGGGAGAAGTGAAAAGAGAGACGGGAGTTTTGAGAACAACGGTTTCGCTTTTCCCCTGGACAATTTGACTCTGTTCGAGAAACAGACGAGGGCCAAACTTTAAGTGTCCCCCTTGGAATGGAGAAGCGGTAAAGTAAAATGTCACCCCACGGTGGGAAATGATGGATGAATGCGGATCGCCCGGGAACCCAGCTGAAGAATAATTCTGGGAAAAGCCTTGCACATAAAGCCCCCTCCATCATCACGCCAATGAGCTGCCGGGGTCGTCCCCTATTCCGCTTCGAGCGCTACGTCCGTGCCGCCCCCGTACGTTACGACCCCTTCCTCTCAGCTGCCAAACCCACCATGGTATCCGCTCCCGATCGCCATCGCCATGTTCGGTAAGGCTTGTGAGCACGTTGTGAGCTTCATGGCAGTTTGATGAGCCAATAGCTGAGGAGTTTTGCGTGACAAGGAGCTCCACCTTCATATCGACCCTAAGATATCACCTCATGTATCCGTACTCCGTACATCGCTTAAGTATGAGACTGACTTAGTGGCCTTGATTTAGTCTCTCTTAGTGACACTTATCTCACACTAGTCTCTCCTCCAGCCGAGGGGAAGCGGCATGTTTCTGGCCCATCATGAAAGCGGCGGGGAATGGGCCGCAATAGAGGGGTCAATGATTATCTTTTGAAGCCTCTAGAAGCAGAATTTGACCACTTTTGATCCCACGATCTTAACATTTTCTAGAAGTAATTCACGGACGTCGGACTCCAGCAAACTCATCTGATGCTGTAGTAGCCGGAAGTTTTTTTTTTTGTACCTGAACGATTACTACATCTAACAAGACACTCAACCTAAAAGTCTCTCCTCGTTTCATCACGTTACTATCCCACCGGTCAACTCACCGCCTCTCAGTCTTTGCCACGGATCAACACTGACGACAATGTCCCAAAAGCTCATCGTCGTCGTGGGCGCCACGGGCAACCAAGGCGGCTCCGTTGCTCGCCGCTTCCTGGCCGCTGGCTACCGCGTCCGCGCTCTCACCCGCGACACCAAATCCCCATCCGCTACTGCCCTTTCCACTCTCGGGTCCGATGTGGAGCTCGTGATCGCAGACCTTGAAGATGTCGCCTCCATCGAAGAAGCTTTCAAGGGTGCAAATGTCATCTTCAGCGTCACAAACTACTGGGAACCCTTCTTCCGACCAGACTGTCGCACGAAGGCACAGGAGCAGGGCATTTCCTGCCGGAAGTTCGCGTATGATGTCGAGTTGCGCCAGGGACGGAATATTGTCGATGCTGCGGCCAAGACAGTGGACTCGCTTGACAAGAACGGGTTTTTGGTTTCAACATTGAGTCACGCTGAGAAATGCAGTGGTGGGAAATTTAAAGAGCTGTATCACTTTGATTCCAAGGCTGAGGTGTTTCCTGGCTACGTGAACGAAAAGTATCCCGAGCTCGCGGCGAAGATGTCGTGCATCCATACTGGGTACTTCTACACAAGCTACAACATTCTTCCCAACTCATACTTTGGCAAGGTGAGCCACTCCCCTTTATTGTGACCATCAACATCTCTAAAGCGTCATCAGAACTCCGATGGCACATTCACCATGGCGTTCACAACCTCTCCTGACAAGCCTGTCCCGCATTTCTCCCCTGTCGATGATATGGGCAACTTCACCTACGCCGTTTCCCAAATGCCGCCCGGCAAGGCTTACATGGCCGAAGGAACAACTGCCACTTGGCCCCAGTTCCTAGAGACATGGGCAAAGGTAAATGGAGTACAAGCCAGCTATAAGCAAATTACGCCAGAAGAGATGATTGAGGCGACTGGAGAGCGCGACACTGGTCTCGAAGTCGCATACATGTTTTCATATTCCTCGGACCCAGGTTACGATGGCGGCATGGATTTGCTGACCGCAGCTGATCTTCAAAAGGTGAGAGCTGCAACCCTCGAACCCGTGAAGAATGAGGTGCTTTATTTTAAGGCCAGAGAATTGACTGCTAATTGCATAGGCTGGTATTGATTGTCCCATGACGACTTGGGAAGAATGGTCCAAAAAGAACGATTGGTCTCCTGTACTAGACAAATGATGGCCGCACGGGTTCATACCTGAAGGATATGTGCTAGACTTAGATCCGATTTAGCAATCCGACACTCTTGAAACTTCTGACTTTCCTGACTTTGAACAACTAGAATTATATTTATCGGCTGGCTGAAACGCATTGCGAACACCGCATGTGTTGTGTAGGCCCACCAAGTTTCATTTAGTATTGTGGGTTTAGAGCTCATTCTTCTTACGTTTATTCTTTTTCTTAAATCTGAAAACACCAACATTCAAAACCATCAAAACTCCATGTATACTGCGACAATAGTTGCTAAAGCCATCGCAAACATTGCTTGACCCCCAGCTGCAGAAACCTCTGACCCCCTGCTCCTCACCGGTTGGGCGCCTGAAAGTTGACCCCTCCCAGGTTCCATGGATTGCGGGAACATCAAGACTGTACCGTTACCCGCATCTCCCACAGGAGCTGTTGTGTTAGGATCGATAGTGAACGACGTGTTCGTCGACTCGAAACCTTCACGCCTCCCGACCAATACTTCGACACTGCGGAACGCCACGGCAGGGGCATCCTGTGCGAGGAAGTGACCTGATGTAGATACAGCAAGATATGTCAGGCCTCGCTCCGAGTGCACTGTACCCATCACACCAGCGCCGGCCAGCGTCTCGGGGTCAGTGTTGGTGTGATAGGGCACATAGAGCGGTGCGGTGGGCTTCTTTTGGAAACCCATTTGCCCTCCCCAGGTCAAGTTCTGGATCGTGAGAAGTGTACCGTCGTCAATGAGCACAAAGTCCTTGGTGCCGTGTGCGAGAATGACATTTCGTGTCTTGTCGATGACGTTGGGTAAGACCGGTTGACTTCCCGGCCCTTCGTCAATGGAGTTGTCGGTTTCATTGAAGAACACGGGTGTCTCGGTGCAAAAGACCCATTCCTTGTCCAAGGGAGCATTGATGGCTTTCTTGACGTCTTCTCGGTTGAAGTAGACTGGTCCCGCCCCCTTTGGCCTGTACATAGAGCCGTCGCTGAATCCAAGAGGGTCGTACTTCAACGGGCAGAGATTTGTGATAGAATAGACGCTGAAGCAAGGGGTGATCTCTGTCGCAGCCTCCAGAATCATGGTCCAGGTGTCACACTCTGTCTTCACGTTGCCATCCTCATCTAGGCCCGGCATTGTCGCAGGCTGTTGTCCGGCAGGAGGATAGACGAGCCATTTGCGCATGTAATCGGCATAGCCACACTTCTCATGTGCATCCTTTAGCGTCTGCCTGAATGTGTCGTTGAAGGCGAAGACATGTTCCCATCGATCCACGAAGGGAACTGCAGGAATCTCCTCCCCGATGCTGTCGACCGAGTACGTTCCGTCAAAGATTTGCATACCGGCAATGTTGAAGTAGTCCTTGTCATTGCTGTCAACCATGGCGCTAGCAATGTAGGGGCAGTACATGCCGCTGTACGAGGATCCGGTCACATAGACCTTGTAGCCCTGCATGGCAAAGGTGTCGACAAAGTTACGCCAGAAGCTGAGGAACTGGCGGGCGACATCGAATTCGTCCTTGGCAGTGGGTGTACCCTGCGAAAAGCCTGTACCCACAGGCTGGTCTACCCAGACGACGTTGGTGATACGATGCCAACTCCATTTGTTGCGGATGGGCTTGAACATTCCCGGCTGCCAGAGCATTGGGCCGTTTTCAGAGAGGAGTTCTCCGGTAGATGAACAACCAGGCTGGCCATACAAGTTAGTTCTGTTCGAGTCCCGGTTATCATATAGCATAGACTTACACCACCAGTCAACCAGATCATGATCTCCTTGTCGGCGGCCTGACTCTCGGATGGAAAAAACCAGAAGTACAGCTTCCCGGCTGTGTCATTGTTCTTGTCAATGTTGAGTAATCCTGCATAAGACTCGCCGACGTCGAAGTCAACTTCGGGGATCTTTGTTCCATTGACGACAAACTCTAAGAGCAGAATTGTTAGATAATAGACCACGTCGAACAGTGAGTGACATTTATCAACGCACTCTTAGTCTTGTCTGTGAGGAACTTAGGTTCCCCTTGAGCCTTGTTCACGACATTTTGCTGGTAGTCGGCCTTTGCGTTTGAGTACTTGGGCTGGTTCAACGATGGTTTGTACTGTTTCAAGTTCAATGTCGCAGAAACAGCCACAGGAAGCAGCAAAGCCGCACGGAGCCAGTGCATATTGAGATATATCGGAAGGGCGGAAATTCGGGGTTCGTCGATACCCTTCTTGGCTTGTCGTTGATGATTACAGCATCACCCTCGACAAGTCTAACGGTCAAGCAGGTCGTGCAAGATGTGGGGAAAGGCCAGGCGGCTCTGCACCGGACTTTTAAGGAAGAGAAACAAAGAGGTGCCACCATTTAAGCATTCCTCGGAAAGGCGCGATGCGTGTTTCAAGATGGGTCCTGTTGGAGGGGATCAAGCTTGGACGCTGATCCCGATGAAGGGAAACGCACATCAGTGTCACCTCAACTCGGTTTCGCCCGAGCTTAATTCACTTGGCAACGGGCCGCTAGGTTTGGGGAGAGCTAGTCGAAAATTGGAAATAACGAGGAGGTTCTGAAGCTTGAAAGGCTATAAGGATGGGAGACCCTTGATGTATGACCGGTGAATCGGCTTGATTAGATGGTTGTCTCTGCTGGAGGGTGATACAAGGTGCACACAGATTAGCTTCTCTGTTTATCAAACCTGAACCGTTTCGGTAGACGGCAGACGCCGACTTTCGCCTGAATTGGATATACCACTTTCGAAATGTCTTCACTAAAATACAGGCTGGTCTTGAGACTCGTTAATATTTTAGCCAGAGACGCGTTAGCTGGATCGCATGCTATTCAATGAATGAGCCACTCTTGGGGGCGGTAGAGCTCAGTCCAATTTTGCGGATTGTCCACGAAGAGATCGGCCAATTGATCATCCCGTCGGGAACTAAGAAAACCTACGTAAACCCAGTATTGACCTTGTGGTTCTGTCACACCTGCCCGGTGACGGAAAGTAAACCAGTCGGCCTAATATAGCATCTCTTTCCTCTGAAGTCGGCCTTTTCAAATTCGTACTAGTTTCCACGTTTCTCATGAGCTTGTTCTCGCCTTGCCATTCGTAGATCCCCCGCTTGCGGCCATGCCGTGTTACAACTTTTGCCTGGCGACGGATCAAGGTTCATCGCCGATCTTAGATCAAATGCCCTGCAATAAGATGCCGTAGTCACCGGCTTGGGTGGTGCTGAAGAGCGTATAGGTGTCTATAGCTCTATTGACTTTCTTTGACTCCTCGAAATAGACACCTGAATCCGCTCGTTCTAGGATGTCCTTAGTAATCTTGCCTTACTTGTTCGCTGTCTTGAGTGGATCGAAGGTTCCTCCTGCACTTCACTTTTGGACTGGAACTCATCGTCACTACACATTTCTATATATGATACATATGAGATTCTCGCCTGCCTCTGCTGGCAATTGCAACATCCAATGCTATGTAACTTAAGAGATACGTTTGTGGGGGTTGTGAGGTGCAGGTCGGCGCACAGCAGCGGGGGAGGTTTGCTTGAGGCCAGTGTGTCACGAAAGTCGACATGGAACATCTGGCACTACGCTTCGATAACAAGAGGATGGACATGGGACTACCCGTGTTTTATCGGAGAGATATCATACTGACTTCAGAGCAAGAATTGAAGGCAGGGCCAACGGTTCATATGATCATCTCGGAAGGGCAAGCAAACAACGTCGTCTGATTGGGCTCTGGCCAATAAGGCAAGATGCCAAAGTCTAGTCGCCTCATGCACGCGTCGCCAGAGACAGATTCCACAAACATACATGTGGAGTTTGAAACTTCCAGGACCATCGTAAGGGCTTAAGATTGTAATCTATCGATACCTGTCACTGATTCGTTCGCGAGCAATCGTACTTTGATAGCGAAACATGGTCGATAGCTGGTACGAGCTCCTCACGCTATGACTATGCCTCAATCCTCTGACTCAATCCCGGAATTTGATCTTTTATCTGTTCTATCGAGATCATGGCGTATCCTGCAACAAATAACAAGCTCCGTGTTGGCCCATTTTGAGCCCTGCTTTCGCGCAGATCTGCACACCAACTAGTCAGTCTGGGGATCTCTCCACAGTGCTTAGATTCGTTAATTGTGAAGATTTTCAGCACAACTTATGACAGTAGACGGGTAAATGACATCAGTTGCACTTAGTGTTGGTGTCGGTAGTCTTGGGTATTCTTCCTGCAAGTGTAGCAGGTCTTTCACTGGCCAGCGTGTCTACAAAGATCTTAGTTCAGGTAGATGAGCTGAGAATGACTGATTGGAAGGACCAACAGAATCATAGTGTTAGTGAAAAGAAGTTTCTTCAATAAGACAAGTAGCCTTCTGGTTTTGGCAACCAGTCTTCCGTCTTACTTTTCCGGATTGAAACCCTCACAAAAGATACCAATTTGATCAACAAAAGGGCGCTTATCCTTGAGAGTTCAGCTGTATGATTGCAGAAAAGATACAAGATGGCGATGGTATGGCCGGATCTGAGGGAGTTGTCAATGTTGTTTTTAACTGAGCCCCTGATAAACTGCATATCTCGTGGCCTTCACTGTCGCAGACTGTGAGCCGAGTGTTGCTCTCGTCGACAAAGATGTTTTGGATCTCCGTTAGCATGCACTGGTGATTGTAAATGTTGGGAGAGCGTGAAGACAGCTCTTCAAGGCCTGGGAAGGCGCTCTTGAATATGAAGTTGGCAACTTTTGGCATTCCGTTTCGAATGGTGCGCTCGTTTGAATGCTATATGGACATGTTTTGCTTGAGACCCTCCTCGAGTATCAAGTGTTTGGTGATGGTGACGCCTACGAAGGCAAAGCATGGATCACACGTCAGATTCCCGGACTTAGTACTCTGGGCATAGCTGGGCGTATTGATCCACAGAAAACCTCATGCCAAGCCATCAATTATTTTGAAAACAGTACCAAAAGCTAAATCGTATGCCGCCGACCTGATGTTAAAATTTCCACCCCAAAGAGACTGGCCCGAGAACTCTTTGTCAGGCTGAAAGCATTCTCCAGAGAGAATTCTTTCTTATGTGAGCCTTCAAAGCATGATGCCTTCATACACGCATATCATCTACCTCTCAACTGAGATGGGCGTGTTGTGTTTTTGTTTGAAGTCGTCTATGAGTCTCAAATGTCTCTGATATCAAACAAGAGTAAAATTGCCGTCGGCCTGTCACCAACATGTAATGGCACTCCCGAATCCTTTTCGGTAGAGTTTGGGTATCCCTAATGATAGCACGCACATTCATTCAGGCGGTTCCAACGTAGGGGACAGACCTTCTCGTAGGTATTAGACATTATTGACAAGCTATATAAGTGGAAATGTACTTGGAATAGAACCGAACTAGACACGTTCTTTGTCCTCAGCCAGTATGTCATCGCGTCATTGAGTCTGTGAAAGAAGAAGAGACTCTGTATGCACTCGCGGCCCACGTGGCGAACTCTGCCATCCAAAGCCAACAGAAAGCAATCGGTATCAGGGCAATCAATACCCACCATAACTCTACGGTCAGCCGCCGCCTCAACCAGCGTGAACACCTCGCGCCAATCTTTCGTCGATGAGAGCATACGGAAGTGCCATAAACTAGGCAGCCAAGTCCCGGCCTTGACTCGCACTCCATGTGTTCACGTCGCCTTTGCATCAGAAGCCTGGTCCAAAGGTTAGATAGAAGTAGCAGGTACGAGACGATGAAAGGCAAAGAAGTAATATCAGGATAGAATTCTGGAACAACATACGGGACACTGCCTCTACAGAAGCGTAGGTCGCTGCCAAGGTCACACCGTTTATCATTTGGACACTCAAGATGAAGCATGCGGCGCTCCATCAGCCACTCAACCTTGAGTCGTACGCCCGTGTCAACGAGGTAGTAGAAGTAGCTGCTGGTGTGTTTCAGTGAGAGGGCGTCGGGATAGATGAGTTGCTTGGAAATGAGAAGGTGGATTTCTGCGGGCAGATCTGTGAAACCGGCGAGCTGGGTGCGGTCGGAGGCCTCCTTGTCGGCAGACCGGAGCGACCTTTCTGCTGCCGGCGCCGGAGTGGGTCGTTTACGGGCGCGGATGGGTTCCATTGTCGCGGGATTGCGATAGGCTAGCTGCGGATTCGACGTTGGCAGATACGGATGTGGGAGGAGTCACCAGAGTTCTTCGTTGTATTTGTTTCGTGTATTTCCTACGTTCAAAAGATAGGAAGGCTGTGCGTCAAATGATGATTTTTGGGGAGGAGGATTAGAAGGCAACCTATATAGCAACAGAAATCCTGCTGCCTCCGAGTGAGTGTTTATGGGGACTTTGAGGCGTGGCATGTTCCTAGCGTGTCAGACACGAAGTTTCAGTCCGTCCGTCACCAGGAATACGTTGCACTGTCAGCTAGGCAGATGCCGACTGTGGCTGGTTTCAGGAACCACTTTGCCAAATACAGGGCGCTTAACGTGGCTGATTTCAACACTGTAGCATTCCCTAGGTTGCCGCGGTGCGCCTCGTTGCGCCTCATTGGAGTCCCGACAAGTTAGCTTTATCGCTGCTTTTGTCCGCTCGGACTCCTGTACTAACAGTTTCGTACGGTGAGACAGCTGCTTCTTGTTAAGGTCAGCATCTGAGGGGCGTTCAGATACTGCTTTTAGGAGTGTTATTCTTACTGAAAACATGGGCGGCTCATGCTTCCCATGTCAACTAGGCGATCTAGTTCCTGAATGCAAGAGAGACAACGAACGGATTCTCTCAACGGCTTGATCCGCAGGCATGCATTATGCATCATGTCGAGGAGGATCAATTCATGGACACACGCGTCTTTGCTGCGATTATCTAGACTCCAGAGCGAAAAGCGGCGGTTTTCATAGGAGTTCGCACTACATGCTCACCTGACTCATTTCCTTTCTACTGCAAGAAACTATGTGCTTTAATACGACTGCTTTGTAGTAGGTGATATTGAGCTGCGACTTCCAATTCGACTCGAAAAGGTACAAATCCTGCTCCTCTATGCCAATCCTGATGCCAATGCAACGCTCTCGCTTCTCCCTATGGCTAACTACAGAATCTCCAAATCCACAAAGCACTGCTTCGGCTTTCGCGTCAATGTTTCAATGTCATCATAGTCGGATAGACTCTCATCGCAAGTCCGGAAATCAAACGACCACACTAGCAGAGTCACCAAAAGCCTAAGTTCCAGATATGCCAACTTGCGACCGAAACAGCCTCGAAGACCAAGACCAAACGGCAAAGTCGGCCCAGCCAACGCGTCGAAGACGACCTCACCGTTCTCGTTCTTTGTGAGCCAGCGCTCAGGGCGGAAGTCGTCCATGCCGTCAGAGCCCCACACCCGCAAGCCGCGCTCCTCTGCTGCCATCCGAGACGAAGCGCTGCGCAGTTTCTCGTCGACTTCGAAACCTGGTTCTGTGAAACTGGGACCACGGTTGGGAATGAAGACGGAAGTGCCTTTGGGAATATGGTGTCCCAGGATGATTGTGTCCTCCTTGGCTTGTCTCTCCTGACCGATAGCGGTGTGCGAAAGTCGGAGCATTTCTTCGACAACGGCATCCAAGTAAGGTATGCTAGCTCCTGTTATATCCTCGTGGGACGGGAGGCGGTCATCGCTAATGGCGTTTGGGTGAGCAGCACGAAGGCTCTCGCGAAGCTGTTGCTGACAAGCAGGATTATCGCTCAGAAACTTCACTCCCCAGCAAAGGGTTGTACTTGTGGTATCATGTCCTGCTACGACGAAACCAAGCAACTGCATCAAAATTCGTCAGTCAGTTCTGCAAACAACACTTCTTTGCGAAGAGCCAGAAAAAGTACTCACCTCGTCATTCATTGCATCAGACCAATATATCGGCTTGCGGTTCTCTTTGCCCGCAAAAACAGTTTCTCTATGGATCATCAGATCAATTGCAGACTTGACATAGCTGTCGTCATTGTCCTGAGCCTGGCCTTCATATCTTTCGACAGCTTTCTGAACTTGCTCTTTGAAGAATGCTTTTCTGAAAGTTCTCATGCTTTTGACGCTGGGCTTGAGGCCAATCAGCCACCACGCGATGTCGGGAAATCCTGTAGCAGCAACTCCGGTGACGTTGTCAGCCGTCTTTATAGCCGTCTCCAAAGTTGGATGGATGGCTGCGATAGGAAAGCTGGCCGCCTTTGTGTTCGACTCATCGATACCAGCCTTCTTCTCGCTGCCACTCTGAAGCATCCTAATCTGTGGGATCAGTGCTCGATGTTCCACGCTGGAACCGAATCCAAAGTCGAAGACTGCATCGAGAGCTGTGTAGAAGATGTCTTGCTCGGCGCTAAAAGGCTTATCAGTGGCAGCCGTCTTCATCTTCCACAGGTCCAGAAGATTTCTAGCGCTCTTGTATATGTTCGGGGCCGCGACATTGTTGAGAAAGTTGGGGGTCATAAGGTCCTGGAGCAAGCGTCGGTGGGCTTTCCATTCCGGCCCTGTCTTCAAGTTGATGTGGAAGCTAGGGGCCTCTCCGCCCAATAGGCTGATGGTGAAGTCGGAACGATCGAATTCTTTGCGACGCATGAGAATATCCTGTCCCTCGCGGAAGTCGGCGATGAAAACCGTCGGCTTGTGGAAGGGCTGGAGGAAGAACTGAGACAAGGGGCTGTCATGTCGACGCGCTTGTTCAATCATCCATCTGAAAGGGTTTTCGGGTGATTCTTTCTGGAGCCTGGGGATGTCTCCGAGAAGGGACTTGACGACCTCTGTGTTGTATGGGATTCCTGGGATCGGCTTGGGAAGTAGGTAGTTGTAAAGAGCATAAAGCAAGCCGACGAGCAATGTGGAGCCAGCCGTAGCCAGTATGCTGAAGGACGGAATTTGGTCCATGGGCGAAGTTGTTGCTGTAAAATTTGACATTTCCAAAGATGCAATGAATATCAGGCTAAGACTAGACCATGAGAGTCAAAAAACATGTTCATTCGAAGTTTCTGCAGACTGGCGACTTTATATCAACAAGGGCGATCGGCACATGAGACCGCGTCCGCGGAGTGCCGACACAGGGTACGATGGACAACGTTGCGGAGCTATGGGCCGCGGAGACCGCACTCTCTTAAGCCAAGAATATGACGTTGTTTGCGGACCCTGCGACAACTACCCGACGATGGTACTTCAGTTGCATGGGGGAAAAATAGAGATTATACGTTCGATTTACCTGGGACTGGATAGGTCGAGGCCCTTGAGTGCCGCCCCCAAGTCCCCGCTGTCGTCTCCACGGTCCGGTGGGTTGTGGGTTTACTCCGCGCTTAGACTGCCGGATCAGGAAATATCGTCTCTGGAAAAGAAGCGGACGCGGACTGACGAGTGCGTCCGACGGCGGCCCGTAGCCGGCGGCAGTACGGGCCAAATCACCTAGGAATCTCTACCGCCACTCTGTTGGCCGTTGTAATGGCATTCTGCAGACATGATGGACCAAGCTTGTGGCCCCCACACCTTCAGAGACTATGAAGACGAGTATGCGTTGCTTGCCTCATTGATGAAGAGCTGATGTTGCCTGCAGTTCCTGACCGTCATAGTTAGACCATTAATCTTCGTATAAATGAAAGGTATTATCCATCGGGAAAAGAAGTTCTGTTCATCTGACGAGAACCTGGGCAGCATTCATCTGAATTGAGATTACCTTGCTCTTCACAAACCACTTGTACGGGGTCCATATTTTCGGTCAGAATGTCATCTAATAACAAGATCATCGCAATCACAGGTACGGCTGTTTACCTCGCCAGCAGAGGAGCATCATTGGCGATATCTGACGTCCGGTTAGAAGCCCTGAAAGCCGTTGCCGACAAGCTAAAGACATCCATCCCTGGTATACGCGTTGAAGCAGCAGTAGTTGACATCAGTAAGCCCGAGAAGGTCCGGGACTGGTTCCAAGATACTAAGAAAGTATTTGGGCGCCTAGATCGTACCGCTGCCCAATATTGACGGAAGTGGAGCATCAAGCCAGGTCCCACTTGAGGCCCAGTCTGACCAACCGGGGGAGTTCTTGCTGGGAATCAATCTTTCGGGAACAGTGTTTTTCTTGCGAGAAGATCTGAAGCGCATCAGTGATGGCGGTTCATCTTCAATGCCACGAGTGTTCCCGATTTGAGAAGTTTCCCTGGCCACGGCGCTTCGGCTTACGTCGCCAGCAAACACGCCGTGTTGGGGCTCACAAGGACCGCTGCAAGAGAGAAGGTTCATTCTAAACAGTCTATAAGCCCAGGTAACAAATACGGAAGAATTGTACAAGGAAAGTACACTGCAATATGTATCTAACTGAAGAACCAAACGATTGAATAAAGATTGTGGATGAAAGCTTGGTTTTCTCCCTTTCCTCATTCTCCCCTAGGATGCATTATCCTGGATCATGGGTTGTAAAGGATCCAACCGCCCGCCTCGACACTCCGCCTCTCTCATTTTGCCTTCCGCTCGAGCCATGTCCTGAGATTCTAGCAGCTTCACCCACGACGAGAAGTACGACCCCAATCCTGTGACACGGCCATGACCTGGCGGACTAGCCAATCCCAATCTCGCAAGTCTGTTTCTGTCCCAAATTGCGAAGCCCATTCTCCTATACGGCTCGAAACCGGCAAACTTCATGGGCGAATGCGCGTTCCTCCCCATGCTATCCACGATCCATAGACTGTCGGCAGGCAACACCAACGCGGACCTACGAGTATCCGGAGTGGCAGGCATTCCTCGGGACGAAGGTGAGATGTCCTCGATAGAGCTTTCGGGTGATGGCATCCGGTCCACGAGTGCGGTAGCACTATCAGTCTTGGAGGTAGAAAGGCTCTTGAGATAGTCAACTGCTGTCATCACCTCGTGATAAGCGGCCTTAAAGTTGGTACTAGTGCTGTCGTAGAAAGACTGAATATCAAGAACCTCTGTTTTCAAGTCCTTTGGCTCTGTTCCCTCCACTTTTGCCCCGAGGAGCTGAGATCTGCGCGCCGCCAAGTTCATTTCGAGTACAACTTGAACTCTCCAGAAAGCTCGAATCATCCGCTGTTCTTCGCACCATGAGAGCTTATCGTGAGCTGAAAGTTCCGGAGCGTCCAGTCGGCCTTCCCTTTTCGCAGCTATCAGACTGTCCTGGTAGTGCCTGATGCAAAGTCGGCTCAAGGAGTGTAATCGACTGGCCGTAGCAAGTACCGACCGCATGACGGGAAGATCGGGCTTTTTCGTTGTATCCATGGTCGGCAGAACGTAGTCTGAATCCGAGCTCTGGCCAAGCACGATGCCAGCTTCGCGATCACTGATTCTAGCGGCAAGCGTGAGATGAGGTGTGTTCTTATACGCGCCTGAGCGTATTGAGATAATACATCGTATGACTTTCTGTGTCTGTGACGGAATATTGGTCTCTGTAACTGCGGGCCAAAAGATGTCGTCACTGTATTGGTTGAAGACCCGGCTTGCGATCGGCGAGGAGATAAGGAGGTTCCAAAGACAGTGAACGTCGTCGATTTGCGTTAGTATTTGAAGGAGCACTTCGGTGGGGAAGCCCTCAAAATGTATGAATTCTTTCGACTCCATGGTTCCACGGTGAAGAGTAGTGTATGTATGTGATAAGGCGTTGTTTGTGATGCATCTGTGTTGTTAGGTAGATGTCCCCCGGATCGGAGCTAACGCTTCGGACGGTTGACCCCGCATTCACGCAGTCGGCGGCGACACACTTCGAATTCCGACTGTGCCCCTACGTGAGGTAAGGTTCCCCGTGCTACTGTCGATCCACGTCGGATCTTGACGTCAATCATTTGAACCCCCTTTGGAACTCAATCCATGGTAAACAAGTCATCCTTGCCAACACCCAATCCCGGAGACGGATGACTGGTAACGATGTTGGCAAGGGAAATCACAGGCAACTACCTCCAGCCTACAAATTATTGCTGGAATTTTCCGATATGATACTTCTAATGAGGAAATCAAAGTCAGACCGACTTATGTGCATTTAATTAATGAGTAAGCAACGTATCTTCCTAATGCGACGACCTTTTCACGAGTTCGCTCGAGTTCAGGTTGACAAGGCAGCAAAAAAAAGCTTCGAGCAGTCTATATAATATTTTGCGATGTTTTGAATCGAAATTTTCCAGCAAGTAACCATTCAACTGTACCTGGAGAAAATGTAAATAATTTACTTACGGCTGTGAGAATAATTAAACGAAGCTTTCGTTTGAGCCTTTATCACAGCGAAGGATTCAAAGTGCTAGTCACCGAGTTCAATACCCATATCTGATCGCGGGGCAGATTTTATGGCTATGTTCCACTTCAAGAGGCCAACATCGACATTTGAATACCTGACGTAACAACGCAGGCTCACTACCTTAACCTCATGCGCGACTTGTTGATGGTTGAACGACACAGACTAGGTTGTTGAATGGGTACTTACCACAATCGCTCGCTTTTTGGTCATCATCTTCCATTGACTGATAATATTCAGTCAACTTCTTTCCTGACCGATTTCTCAAATGACTTGATTACATCAACTAACACAACCTACGATCAATAATGTCTTGAACTAAGGTATGGTACTCAATTATCCAGCCGTTCTGTCAAGGTTTTGGCTTACATGCATACATAGATTGACCGAATCGAGTATTCTATCCTCCAATATACTATCTTTCTATGCTGGGCAGCAACGAATGATAGTCCAACTTCCTTATCATCCATTCCTAGAACCGTGGGTCTGCAAAATAGAGGCAGTACGTTTCACACGGTATAACAACGTTTAATATACTTGATTCAAGATCAAGCCCTGAGAAAAATAAATAAACGCATAGATGATGTATTCAGAATGAATTACCAAAGACATAGAGTGGTTGAAAATATGTCGAACAAGGCTCGGCATTGATTTCAGAGGATTAAACAAGTTACCAACAATATGAGGATAAGTTAGCACTTAGCCACTGACCTGAAGTAACATTATCGATAACGTCCAACAGTATGCTATAGGAGGTGATCAGTGAAATCATGAGGTCAAAATATTTCTCTCTTAAGGCTATCTAGCTGCGGTTCCCTCGCGCTTTTAAACTCTCAGTCGACTGAAAAGATGCGAGTGACTCGGAATCTTCGGACTTTTCGGGTTTCTGTGATGTGGCGCAGGAGTCCTTTCGTAAATCATTGATGATGATGGATATCTAAGCCTCATGCATCCCTTGACTTCACGTGACCAAAGTAGTACAATCAGTCCGAGGACGTCGGACTCGGGTGATGTACGAGGTGTGCGAGGAGTCCGAAGGTCCCAAGCTTAGTATTGTATCTCCCGCCGGCACACTCCTTTACGGCAGAAGTACTAAAAGTCCCGAAAGACTGCCTGATTTCGAATCAGAATAACGGTTCCAATATCATTCTCTCCCTCTAGATCACTCTCATTCAACTCTAAGAGACTTGTCGTTCTGTGTCTCGGTGTGGGAGCTTGGCTAGCATACGATCATCAACTCAAAGCAATCGGCTACAACCTACACTTTCATTGGCCTCCCCAAAACAGTAAAGCTCTGAAGGTGGGGCTGACATGGACGGACTCAACTCGACGACAGGCGCTGGGGGTGCAGAGGCAGCTGCCGGGGAAGCATTTGACTTCCGACTTTACCGCTACACGCCATCTCTTCCGGCCGCCATAGTCAGTGCTGCCGTGTTTGCAGTTCTGACCATCCTTCATCTCTGGCGACTGTATCGAGCCCGAGCTTTTTACTTTACTGCCTTTGCTCTTGGTGGTATTTGTGAGTGTGGCCTTGCTGAGAATTTGCCCCCTACTCGGACTCCCGAGGCTTCTTGTTCCATTGAAGGCTTTGCAGAACTGCCCTCCCATCTGCCGGGACTGAAGATACTGATTTTGACTTTGCAGTTCAGACGATAGGTTACTGCGGACGAATATGGTCACACTTTGATACCATGGCCATCGGCGGCTTCGTCGTGCAGGCCATCCTGATCCTTGTCGCCCCGGCCTTGTACGCAGCTTCGATTTACATGATACTCGGCCGGCTGATTCGAACTCTCCGAGCCGACAACCTTTCCCTGTTGCCTGTGCCATGGGTCACGAAGATTTTCGTCACTGGAGACGTCGTCTCGTTTACAATGCAGGCTGGAGGAGGCGGGATTCAAGCAGCGGGAACCCTGGAGCTCTACGATATTGGCGAGAAGATCATCATTGTCGGCCTTCTAGTTCAGATTGTTGTCTTCGGGTTCTTCATCATCACGACTATCCTATTCCATCATCGAATCAGTCGGGAGCCTACATCGGTCGTCATCGAAGGGATCGTCCCTTGGCGAAGATACCTCTGGGTCCTTTACAGCACCAGTCTTATCATTCTCGTACGAAGCGTCTTCCGAGTCATCGAATACCTTCAAGGTAACCGCGGGTACCTTATTTCACACGAAATATTTCTCTACATCTTCGATACCGTTCTTATGGTCGCGGTCATGGCGATTTTCCTGGTTTGGTATGTTGAAGACCTGGAACAGAAGGTATCAAGAAAAGATCGAGATACATTAGGCTCCAGCGATAGTGCCTGTATGTTGGAAGAGCTTTCTAGAAGGCATAATGGCCGGAAATAGGTGGTGAAGAACAGCAAAGCTGGTTGTCCGTCAGTGTCTAGCGTTGCTAGATTGGACCATGTACGATAGAGAAGCATCACACGAGAGAACTTTAGGCTTGACACATTCGTCGCCCGCTGTATCGATGCGTGAAATTATATAGACACTGGGTAGTGGAAGATGTAGACGTGTTGTTCATAGACAAAGTTCATGGGTTTCCATTGCTGGATCTCTGATCCACGACCTATGCTCGTGGTCTAGCATACCATACGTCTCTGCATAGAGGTTATTTGCCCAACCGTCCAGCCACCAGCGACTTCGCAAGCGCTTGAGAAGCATGCAAAAGTACAAGAATATCACCAGCGCCTTTTGTCTATTCTCTCTCAGCAACGGGAGGAAGTCGTCTACAACCATGGCAATCCAGATGAACACATCAGTGATGTCTTGAGGCTCTGCGGACTCATAGAAAGCGCCATAAGACTTGTAGAGCTCATTGATGGCCCTGTTGTATATCTCCAGAAGCCCATTATCTGGCTCTGATGCGTTGATATTTGCTTCCAGGTCTCCAAGATGCGTGTGGTGATATGGTCCTTCTCGATACTGGAAGTGTGCAGTAATCCGCGTAATAATTGGTGAGATTAGAAGATTGTCGTTCGGTTCCCCCACAAGATACCGGGTCCCGCAGAATAGGACTATCCAGTCGGGAGATTGGCCTGCACTGGCTAGCGGCGATTCGTGTAGATATTGCGAATTGGCTAGAACTGGGAGTGGAGAAACAGGTCAGCATACTCTTTCTGCAGCGAGACCGAGAACGAGAACTCTTACCGATGTAGATAGTCAAGACTGAGAAGATGAACAAGTGTGCTTTATTCTCGTCTTGGACGTGCTCCATCAAGCCAACAGCTGTTCTCGAGGAGATTTCGTGATGCAGCATCGACTTCTCCAGTAACTGGTCTTTCCTGTCGGGACTTAGATTCGCGAGATGCAATGCTGCCAGCGAGAGAATGCTCCTCATAACGTAGTCGGTTTCCAGCCCGAGTTTGACGACATTCAGCCGCCAGAAGTCCCCGAGCAGCGGGTTGTCAGATAGAGTCTGCGCGGTGAAGTTGCAGTAATGATGCAGGAGTTCAAGGTCGAGAAAGTTCAACTCGCCCGCATGCTGAGAAAGGGTCAACATGGGGTCGAGTGACGGTGAGGATAGAAAGCCGCAAGCCACGCCATGTTTGAGGCAGTTTTTGCAGGCTGGTCGCTGCTCATCACACTAGAGGAGTCTCGTAAGTCAATTTCCGGTTTCTAAACATTTGAGGGAAGAGTGAAGATTTTAATCCCACCGGCCCGGCCCCCAAGGACGAGACACTGGACAAGCATGGCGGCTTCTAGACCAGGACTACTGATCCTGGTACTGCAGCCCACTATCACGCGTGCATTCAAGCCGTACGCAGCCGTAGTACCAAACATGCTTACCTTGATCTTCCTCGATTTACAAGTCTTACAGCCTGTTCGAGTCTTTGGATGCGCCCGCCGTGACGGGTTTGGTTGCATGTTCGTACTCGGTGCTGTCCGATGACAGCTACGCGGCGGATCGAGTCGGTGAACAACGATTCGTTAAGTAGGTATCACACCACGGCGTTTCCGCCATGACAACAGAATCGACGAGACAAATCGCTCTTGGCCAAGCTCCGGCGATAGATTGATTACGCCCTGATGCAGCGTAGAGAGATACGGCTGTTGATTAATAGAGGGGACGCATAACCTGCATCCAACCCGCGGACGCCTTCGTACTCTAGTCGTATTCGCACTTTCTCGGGTGGTGTAAGGGGCTAGCTTAGACGGACAAGTTCCATTGGAAAGCTCGGCGCCACACTCAAGCGTCACCTTGTCTTGGATCGGCTGCTGATATTCCGCTGAGTCAGGTAAACTAGAAGACACCCAGCAGCAAAAATCCTATTCTCGGCTGGATAATCTTGTGTTATTCACCAACACCGGTCCACCGCGCTGCCCAGCCGTGCCAGCCTAGCCCCCACAGAAAACTAAATATCAGAAAACTCGGGTTGTGCAGGATGGGCGAGCAGTACGTAGAGCTCGCCTGGCAGCTTCTCCGACTCTGAAACCCAGTATCTGTACCGCGACCAACCAGATCGCCACCTAAGTAACCGGGTGCGCGTAGAGCTTTTGCTTAAGCGCCCTGAGCCCGGCTCGTGTATCCGATCACACCATCTACTGCCCGTCAATCTAGCAAACCACAAGGCATCTCTTATTCGCGAACCTCAAAAACACCCGGTGAGACTTGTAGTTCCCCAGCTTTAGACTTAAGTTCACGGCCTGATTACGTATAAAGCTTGGCATTTGCTTATCCTTTAGGCGTGACTGCTGCCAATAAGTGAGTGTACTTCACGACTTGGGGTTTCAAGTTAAAAACCTCATTGCTTGTCAATTAATATGCTTCCCTGTCAGAAGGTGCCGTCAAACGTCTGTCTACCGTGCCGCAACCAGCGACCTGGTCATGCCGCTGGTGGGGGAGCAGGTTTTCGCGACCTCGGTAACTATACGACAGTATAGGGGCATCTGATAGGTCGCTACAATTCTAATTTTTCTACATTTTGGCGTGATTCAACGAGTCAGGGGCGTGTCCATGGCTTAAGAAACCACGCTGTCCTAGTCTGGAGTGATGAAACCATTAGTATGGACGATGTCTGATTTGGTGCTTTGATGCGGACACGGCCGGCTGGAGCCAACTAAGCGGTCGGAGTGCGGGCCGCTTGTAAGATGTGCCAGCCTGACAAGCCAGTCGGGTCCGATCTTTACATTTACGACCTATCCCCTAAGTCCCCAAGCCCCCACCACCTTATGTCGGCAGGCAGTATCAGCATGACTTTTGCAGTTTTGCAGCTCACATATTGAAGCTAGAAGGTCCGGACTTCCCCGGACTTCTCGGTCACTGGCCCGGAAATACGGCAATACCGGCATCTTTTGGCGGGTTTCCGAACGTCAGATTAGACTTCACGTAACGCCCTTGGGTGATCCTAGTATGGGTCAAATCCCAGAGGTCGAACGAGACCTCGAGACCATGACCTTCATGATACCAGTGTCAGAGTAGCCTGATTTTCAAACTTTTCTTTGACGCTATTCGTTCGCAACTTCGTCCGCGACATTAACGATATGAAGTATATCATGAGTGAAATCTATAACGTAACTGAATATGCGCGAGGCACTATTGCAGATTTCATTGAGGAGTTGGGATCAAGAATTCAGGCTAACGTATCGTTGTGGATGCGTAGGAAACCAAACACCCCGCTCATAAACTTGCTAGGCCCGCGACAATGGAACCCTAGTGGGGGCATCGTGGGTTTCGCCCTTCACACACTCGCTACTTGAAATCCTGCCTTCCCAATGTTGAACATCGAAGATCGTGGCGGACATAGCTCAGTTGGGAGAGCGTCAGACTGAAGTGGAATTCCTTCCTGAAAACTTCATTCAAATCATCTGAAGGTCGTGTGTTCAATCCACACTGGCCGCATCTTCTATTCTTGCAAATGATAAATAAGTATGCTTGCTATCAGTAAGTGTTCCCGAATTGGCGATGTAACTTACTTCCAGTGAATGAAGGAAGTAGTCACTAAATACTGACTCCGTACTTGCTTCACTTCCTCACTTTCGCCGAGATAAGCAAACAAGGCAAACAAAGTAAAGAGATTAGAGTTGGTTTGTTACGTTACCGTAGTCTGGCCTTTTTGATAGATCATGCATTCAACACAGGGTCTTCCACTTTTCTATCCCTTCGCTGTCGTCTACCTCGTAAGTAAGCTATGAAACTCTTCCTGATATTGTGGCTTTGATTCCAGCATCTCTTAGAGAGGGACCAGGTTTCAGACAAGGTGTAAATTCGCCTGCCGAGAAGGAACTCGAAAAGTCTACGCCGGTTCTAAACTTTAAATAGAGCTGAATTGGATACACACGCGTCGAGGCTGCGAATTTACCTATTTCTTGGGACGCGCTAAGTCAATTGAGCACACGGTGATATATCACCCCGCACGTTCACCGCCTGTTCTGCAATGTCGTGGTGTTTGAGTTGTCAGTCGGCTGTCTAGATAGTACCTAAAGTCGTTTCATATTTGGCTGTCCATTGGATGAACGTGGCAGCTCCTATGAATCTGTAGATTTGTCTGCTTGGCGGATGACACCACTGTCCGGGAGTTAGGACAGTCGTCTGAAATGCCACAAGTTACAACCTAGCCCTCCGTGTCTAATTGCAGACTACGTTGGCCACGATTGATCGTCAAAACTTTCTCCTAGACAAACTTGGACGAGATGTCTCTCAGGCCTACCTGTGGCATCACAAGAAACACAGGCGGAGTTTGTGCAAACACAAGAGTGAGGGACCAATAAGAACGGCGACTTTCCTATCACATGCGATCAAAAATGCAAGGGAAGCTAGAACAGACAGACCGACAAGCGAAGCAAGCAGCAAATTCGTAGCACGAGTCCTGAATTAAATCTCGTATCTGCTGGCTTGGCCGAAGAACTACCTGTGGGTTTGGCATTGTCGGCCTCTTGGAGAGGAATTATGCGAGGCAATTCTGAGATAGATGCCGCAACGCCTTGCAGTCCAAGATTCAAGCAATCCTGTACTACGTCTACCGGTCGTTCTTTCAGAATTTACAGTGCTTTCAATGGATATATGCTTGCACAACAACTTTTACTGTCAGCTATTCAACGTAGACCAAAAGTGTTAACCTCAGCAGATGGCATCGGCGTATGACAGCATCATGTTGAACAGAGCTTTGTGTTTCCAGAAATTTCTCAGAAGTTGACTATGAGAAGGTAGCATAACGTTTCCTTCCTTGTTCGTTTCCAGTCCTCGCCATCACATTCACTGTTAGTCCCGACCTAGGGCCACCTCTTTCGATCAACCTTCATCTGCCCACACGTCTCTCTAAGAGGGTCAACATATTCTACATTCTTCTATTTCTCTCAAGATAGAGTGCGTCGAAATTTTGCTTCCCTTCCATCCAGCACCGGCG